TGTAAAGCGTTTGTTACATGAATCTATGTGACTGGGGAAGCAGTGAGGGATTCAACATCAAACATAGCTTCATCCCTTAAAGGAGGGTATCTTTTTTTTTTTTTAACTTAATTTTAACCTGTTGGCTTACTTGCCTCACGGTCCACATCATTGTCAATACCTATGTCTAAACATAAAGGGAAAAATGAACTGAAATGAATGGAGAACATGATGGGTCATTTATTTTAGGTGTAAGCTGAAATTTTAAATCACCCACCACTTGGGTTTATCTGGTACTTCTAGCCCCGCTAGTACAAGTTCCACGTGATGACTCTTTGGCCAAAACCCGGCGGGCAGTGGCCAGAGTCCCTGTTCATCGGACCATCTCATGCGCTGGCCTGTGTTTTTCATGAACGATGGACTTTCGGTGTTAGGAGGTGAGGTTCCCTGGAAGTAGGGGAAAAAGCGTAACAAGGGCCCATATGAGCTGAGTATGGGTGTGCTGGGGCAGGGGTGTGTGGCCGGCAACCAGCAGCCAGACGAGCTGGGTTCCAGGAGGCGCTCGGGCCCGAGGGACCAAGGGCGTCCCGTGACGGGTATTTTCATCAACACTTGGTCCCTCCTCCCGTCCTCTCTCCTTGTTCCATCTCCAAGCCTCGGCGCTTCCTGGCATCTGCACAGAGCCCCCAGGCCTGCCTCTCTCAAGCATCTGAGAGCCCTGCATCTTTCCCTCTCAGATTTGATCTGCCGAGGCTGCCTCCAACTGCAGCCTCCACATCATGAACAGGAGCCCAGACGTGCCTCACAAGGACCCTGTTTGGAATCATTTGGCCCCTGAACGATGGGGGTGGGGGGCGGTGTCGTCTGCGTTTCTTTCTTCCCACCCACTATAGACTGGTCTGGGCCGGAGCAGAGGTCTGTTCCTTCAGTGTTGCCCACCGCCCGGCCTGACTCTCCGCGGCAGGTGTGTGTGTGGGGTTCTCTATGCTCAGGCTCTGTTGGACCTGGGGGATGAGCAGGGGAGGCTGCACTGGGAGCAGCACCCAGGGCAGTGACAGGGAGTGGATCAGGGCGAGGATCTGCCCCCTCATTGGTTCTCTGGGATCCCCTCCCAAAGCCTTGGGGTATCTGGTCTACAGTCACTGATTCTGGGGCTAAATATGGAAACCGTGTTTGGTTGGAGTTTGGACCTCCTGTGTTTGTGTTTGAGCTCAGAATCCTGCACTGTGTCCAAATGTTAATTCTTCAAGGGAACAGCTGTCTGCCTTCCTGTTGGCCTTTCACTCTGGAAAGGAAAGGAAGAAAATGAATTTCCTGAGTCTTCAGAGGCGGAGGGTGAGTCTGAGTGAGGAGGGTCCGGTCCACCTGGCCTGCGCTTGCTCAGACCAGCCTGAGACAGCAACGCGCGTCTGCTCCGGGGGCAGAGGCCGTCCCTGCAGAGCACAGGTGTCCTTTGAAATGAAGCCTAATATTTAAAATTTGGGCAATTTCACACAAACATCTGGGTTTCTTTATTTTCTTAAAAAACAAAAACCTCCTATCCCGCTTTTCTGAAGTGACGTTTCCATGCAGTCACAATTAAATTTTGAGTTTGAAATGTCAAAACCGGTTCTCTCACCTCATCCTGAGCAGAGGCATGCGGCAAATTTGAATGTACAAACTCTCATTTTTTAAAGGATGATTAATACAATAGTCCGGGTAATATTTATATGACTGTGAGGCACCCAGTGGTGAGATCATGGCTGGATAGAACTGATCTGGCATCTTTATCGCCCGGCCTGTTCTCGAACATAACTTTCAGATGATCACTCATTTGGCTATTTTTTTTTTTTTTTCAGTAAGGCTTGATGTTCTAATCATAAAACACTTCTAACCCCGGAGTAGACAGCACTGTGTCCTGAGCCTAATCCTCAAAGCCTCTCTCGGGAGCTCTGCCCCCGAAAGTCCCAGCAGATTTTGTTCTGTTTGCCTGAACCATCTTAAAATACCCAGCACCACCTCCTGGCCTGCAGCGAGCTGGTAAGAGGAGCCCCACCCTCTCCAGCCTCCCCTTTGCACGCCTCGTTTATTTGCAAGTTCCTTGTTTCTCTCTTATCCCCAGAATTTTAAAATCTCTTATTTACCTGAGCACTATAAATCTGCTGATGATGGGGTTTCTTTTTAAGGAAGGTGATTTGTTACCTTTAAGAAGAACTGAGGGACATCATGGCTTTGTTCCCCCCAAGGCCACACATCATCAAAGCGCAGCCGCTCTGGCTTGGGTGAATTCTCTCACCCTCCCACGCCTCTCACTGTATCCAGTGCTTGTATAAATAAATAAAAATAAATCTTAAAAAAAAAAAAAAAAGAATTCACCAGAGACAGAGCAGGGAGCAGAACAGACAGACAACTGAAATCCACTGCTGAGGGGAGCAGTGGACAAGACAGGAGAGGTCTGCTTCACCATGTGGGAATCTTCCTGGCTGGCCAGGAATCAAACCTGTGCTGCAGAGGCTGTGGACAGTTTCATAGCACTGCGCTCAACCTGCTGCTGTCAACCTGTTTGCTGCACAGCATCGTGGTGACAGGTAATTGACACACAATTATTAATATTCCTGCCACCAAGCACAGACAGACAAGGCAAAACCCTGGGAGCCTCTGCAGACCCTTCTTTTCTCCAAACTCTTCCTATCCCCATTCTGCTCATCTGTTGGGTCTTATTTCTAAACCTCTGGTGTCTGATCCCTGCTGTCTACCCACTGCCACTACATGAAGCCAGGAGACCAGCTTATTAATTCATGTTTTATGAAGTGTTAATATATAGGGTACCTACCAAATGTCTGGCCCTGTTCTAAACTCTTGGATACAAAAGCAAATCTAATAAAGTTCTTCACTCTGTGAGTGTATATTTGTAGTGGGAGATAGAGCAATCGTGATAAATAACCAGGGCATAAATGACTTTTGGAAGTGAGAAGTGATGAGGACAGGAAGCTAAATGGAGCAGGGAGATGGGTGAGCACTGTGGGCCTGTGGCTGAGGGGAGCTTACAGTAATAAATAGTAGCTCAGGCTGGGGCCATGGGAACAAAGACGCCAGGGAAGTGGGAATACAGCTGAGTAGATATCTGATGTGTGGGTGTTCCTTTCTCCCCAGTTTCATAGACAGATAATTAATATGTATCATATGTAATGTTGTTATAGAGCAACCCCGATATTAAACGGGTTCCTGGCTGTGGGTCCTCACCCGCGCGCTTTAAAGGGACTTATGAATACTCTACTACAGACACACGCAAAAGGGTTAATAAAAGGTTTATTTACAAGAGAAAAAGAAATAAGGAAAATCTACAACTCAGGGAGAAAATAGGGAAATAAAGTCTTTAATGCGTCCTACCCGATCCGACGACCTGGAAACCCAAAGTCACTCTCAGAGCTGGCCGGACGCTCCGAGCTGGCCGAGAGCCCAAAAATGGAGAGCCCCCCAAAGCCCACGTGTCTGCCTTTTGTATCCACCTGGCTGCTTAACCCCACCCTCAGGTCCCAGCCACCTTCCCTTTGGTGGTGATGGGATTTGGAGTTCCCAGTGTCTTTGGCTTTGACCTGGGGTGGGGGTGGAGTCCACAAAGCCTATATGGAATTTGCTTTGGGACATCATTTTCCCCCTAACAATGTGAGGCATACAGCATAATGACTGATTTATATATCAGTGAAGTGATGGCCACAATAGGTTAAATCACATCTGTCTGCTATTATAGGTTTAATAAAAAGAAAGAAAAATAAGCAAAAAGGAGAAAACTTCCTCATTGTGAATAAAATTCTTTGGAGTTTGTCCTTTAACAACTTCCCTACATATCACGTGACAATGTTGGCTACAAGCATGTTGGACATTACAGGGAAGGGAATCTCTATGTGGAGGCACAGCCCGTGTGAATGACCTGGGGGGAGCGTGTGTTTGGTGTGTGATCTGCTCACATGGAGTCCTCATGGCTGGTGGGAGAGTGAGGAGCAGGGTGTTATGAGGTGACAAGACTGTCATGAAAAGATGTTGTGAGTACATGGCGGAGAGGTCGAGGGTGGCTGATGAATGCTCCCAAAGGTAATCATAAAAACCTCCATAGGATGTAGTTATTTGAGCTGGAACGTCATTTTATCTAACAAATTCTATAAAGCCCCACAAACCAGATGAGGAAAGGACAATGGAGGCCCCACGGCCTGGTGATTGTGGACAACAGCAGTTAGATTCTTTAGTTTGGGGTACTGGGCCTTGAGGGCACAGGTGTAAAAAGAGTGAGCACTGCAGAGAGAAGAGGGTTGGGGGAGGAGTCAGTCACAGATGAGGAGTCCTGGTGCGCATAATGTGGTGTTTGTACGTGGAGCTGTTGGAGATTTTCAGCACAACTGTGCTTAGCATGTGACTCTGGCAGGAGGACAAGGGCGGGGACAGTATCTGGAGTTGTGGCTGCAGTTACAGGTGGAGAGGGGGGCTGGTTCACACAGTGGCCGTGGACACATAGGAGATGCCATCAGTGAGGTTTAGAAATAACCCAATTGAATGGGGAGAATTGGGTCACAGAATTTAAAGTGGAAGAAGGGATTGCAGAGGCTTCCGAGGCTTTGTAGAGACTATTTGATATTTAATGTCAGGAGCATTAATAATGTGTATCAGTTGCCTGTCACCATAGTGCTGCTGTGTAACAAAGAACCACAGAAAAAAATCTCTCAGTGGCCTGTAGTAAAGGACTTGTACTCACATGGGCTGGTGGGGACTTCAGCTAACCTGGCATGGACTTGACTACTCTCCACTGAACTTACTCCTACATTATTTGGTCAGATGAAAGGTCACCAGGTGGGTCGTGACTGGGCTTGTTACATGAATGGTCACTGGCTCCAGCTGAGGGAGGGCAGCTGCATGGGGAAAGGCTGGTGACAGGCCCTGCTCTGTGAGCTCATCCTCCAGCACCTGGACTGCGATGTCCTTCCATGGAGATGGCAGAGGGAAGACCCATGGGGCCAGCACTTTAAACCTCTGCTGAGTCACAGAGCTGATCTCTCATTAGACATATGAAGTCACATGACTGAACCAAAAGTCAGAGTGTGAGTAAAATGTACGTTGTAGAGTGTGAGCTGAATATGAAGAAACTTGAAGACTTCTGGATATTTTTATAACCATTTGCCACAGATGAGGCAAAACCATGAGTTCAGGTATTGAATTTCGGGTGTGAAGAGCATGTGAGGAATCCTGGCAGATGTAACCCACAGGGATGGGGCAATCAGGGAGGGAGGTGGGAAGGCTGGTGAAGTGATATCTGGAAGTGATATATGAGGAGACATGAAGTTGAGGGAGAAGAAGCCCTGGGAGAGGCTGTGAGATAAGACGGGGCTTCAAGGACTGAACTCTGGGACTGTGCTGCCTTCAAGGAGCAGGTGCAGGGAGAAAAGTCAGGAAAGGGGCTCAGAATGGGGCCAAGTTCCAATAAGCCACCCTCAGAGGGAAGTGACCAACCCAAAATGGAGGTGGTTTCAAGATCAGTCAGGAGTGTCCTGACTGAAGGGAGACTGGCTGAGAGGACCTTGGAGACTGGCGTTGACAAACGGGAGACTTTTGTTGCATCACCCAGAACAGAATGGACTAGAAGGAGAAGCTGCACTATGGAGGCTGAGATGTTGGTGAGAAATGAGAAAATACAGCTGTTTTTGAATTATAAGGTGTGCTCTTCTAACAAGAAAACTCTACAAAGATTTGAACATGTTTATATAATTATAAAAATAGTAGGAAGAAAGGCAGAGATGAACATGTCATGTCATCATCTTGCTCCCCCAGGGGTGGTCTCCCCCACACCCCGCAGAATGCACCTTGACAGCCTCCCTGGAGGTGTGCACAGGTGGGCCCTGCCCCACTTGACTCTCATCATCCCTCCACAGGTGTGGGCTCTGTCCCCCAAGTGCACATCTCGGGGCCAGAGGAGGATGGGGTGCAGGTGGTGTACACGGCCTCGGGCTGGTTCCCGGAGCCCCAGGTGCAGTGCAGAGACCCCCGTGGGGAGCAGTTCCTGAAGTTCTCCAAGGTCCAGGCCCAAGACACTGAGGGGCTGTTCAGCGTAGAGGCCACTCTGGTGGTGAGAGACAGCTCTGTGGGGAGTGTGACCTGCTCCATCCTCAACCCCACCCTGAGCCAGGAGAAGGCCATGGCCATTGTCATCCCAGGTCAGCGCTACTCTCCCCTCCCTACTCCCTGCAGGGTCAGAGGGAGGGGCCAGCATCCTCAGGTGAGCTGGGCTGGCCTGGCCTGGGCTGTGTCTTGATGGGATTCCTGTGGGGTCTCTGTCTGCAGAGCCCTTCTTCCCCAGGGCCTCTCCCTGGAAGCCAGCTTTCCTGGTGAGCCTGCCCTTGCTGCTGCTCCTGCTCCTGGGGGCTGCCTGCTACACCCAGAGAGAACATTCCACACAGATGCGGGAGCTGCAGGAACAGGGGGATCTGGGCCAGGCTAAGGAGGAGGACAGACAGACCAAGGAGGAGGCCCTGAAGGGCACAGGTAAGGCAGGACAGGGGCCAGGTTGTTGAGCAAGGCAGTGGGTGATGAGAGGGACAAGCTGACACCAGAGTCAGAGCCCAGGGTCCCTCTGCAGCAAGATCAGAGCAGGTGCTGGCCCTAGAGGGGACAGTGGAGCTTGGAGGCTCATGTTGGTCTGAAGGAGGAACTTCTAAGACCCAGAGAGATTCATTGTTTTGTCTTCTCTGGGCACAAACTTTGTTCTTAGGGACAGTTTATGCTTATATTTTTAATTATCAGGTGAACTCCAGGCAATTCTAGGTAAGCTCTGCTCTCCCTCCTGAACTCTCTGTGTCCCCTTCATAGGAGACATTCTGGTTCTTAGCTCACCTGTGTCCTGTGTTGTCTTTCAGACCAGAGGAAGGCAGCTTACCTGGCTGGTGAGTGATGCTCCAGGGGTCCTGGGTCCCTGTCCCCTGTTCCCAGGGGTCCCTCCCCTTGGCTGTCTCAGCACAGACATGTGGAACCTTCGCTGGGTGGAAGTGGGAGCTGGTACAAGGCAGGACCCTGCTGCATGGGCTCTCCGGATTTGGGTGCTGCTTTCCCCCCATTCTTGGGGTCCTGGTGGGTGATGACCCTTGGAGTCTCCTGCATCCTTGTCTCATTCCAACCCTGACTTTCCCACCATGGTGCTGGCTTTCTAGTCCTCAATGTATCTCGTTCTTGGTCAGCACCTGGAAGTAAAGCGGCTCTGGGATTTGATAAGTAAATGGACTCTTGGAGTTTAGGAGTGTGACCTCCTCCTGCCCTTTCCCCCAAAAAACCCCAAGGAGAGTCTGTTCTCTCTGCTCCTGAAGATGCTGATCAGTGGTGCTGGGAGAGGACGGGGTGATCTTGCATGGGAGGAAGTGGGGGGACTTTCCCTCTCCCAGAGAGTGTTTAGCACTAGAAATACTGCACTGGAGGAAGAAGGGCCATTTCTACTCTGCAGCTGGTGTGATGTCCATGTTGGTTTTATTTCATCTTCACATTAATTTCCAAGGAAATACTGAATGTAATAATTATGGAATAATATCTCCATTAAATAATATCTTCTCTTGTACTGTTTTTGATCCTGTGTAGCAACACTGAGTAGCAGATGAAGCAGGAGCTTTGAAGTCATTGAGGTCCAGAGCTGCTCAGTGACTTGCCAAAGCCCCACAGCAGCAGCAGGCAGGGCTGGGTCAGTCTGTCCTGCAGGCTCCTGACCTGAGCCAGGGATTTCCCACCACCCCCTGCTGTCTGCACAGGGCAGGAGGTCATGACCTCTCCAGCCTCTCCCCTCCACCCCCAGAGAGTCTCACCTGCAGAACAGGGGGAGACCAAGACCCTTGGATCACAAGAGCAACTGGTTGTGCTGAGGTCTCATCTGTGTGTTCCCTTTCAGCCTGGAGGAAGGCCCAGCTGTACGCAGGTGAGTGGCCTTGAGGGTCCTGGGGCTCCCTCCCAGCCTCCCCTCTGTCCCTTCTCTATCAGGGACCCCCACCAGTAAGGACCTGGGGTCCCTTGTCTTCCTTCACTCCGGAGGCTCCATCTGAGAACAACAGGGCCCCCCTTGTGAGCACAGACCTGCCTCCACCTGCCCTGTCCTCCCTGCAGGTCATGTGGGGTCAGGACACCCTCTGACCCCTTGTCACCTGGTCCTTTCTTGTGGGTGAGGACGGAGGGGGTCAGTGTGAGGAGAGGCTGCAGCAGGGACAAGTGTGTGGTTCAGGATTTTACTGATCTCTCGAAAATTCCAGACATCCTACTTCCTGCTTCGGAGTTAGGTCTTGCTAAGGGGTCCTGGGTTATGGATCCTTCTGGATCCCAAAGCCCAGTCCTATTTTGGATCTAGTTTTTGTTTCCTCTTTCCTCTTGATTCTCTGTCTTCTCATGCATGCTCTGATTCATGTCCAAGCTGTCTTTTCCTTCTAATCCCTTGTGGGTGCTGAGGAATCAGTTGTTTAGGGAAGGTGTTCTGAATCTGGGTCAGAGCTTCTGGGTGTTTATGACTCCTGACAGAGGCCTGTGAAAATTCTGAAATTGCTGTAAAATCCAGTTTGTGTGTGTGTGTGTGTGTGTACTTTTTGTGTCTTTGTAACAAGATAAACAATGTATGATTTTCAGAACCATCATTTTTTTAAGGAGAATTCTGTCTGACAGTCTCGTGGTTGCTATTATTTAGTATTTTTTTTTTTAAGAGGCAACTATGTAGACTGGAAAAGAACAAACCTAAAATGGTTATAATCCATTTCCAAAGAATAGGGGGGAAATTTGAAAGAAAAGTCTGGATGGAGATAGAGAGGGGAAGGAAGGAGAGGGGTGTGTGGGAGAAGAGGCTTCTAGAGGTTTTGGGCACAGTCACCAGTTTGAATCTGTGCTGTGCAGACGCTGTGCAAGGCTTGGGAAAGAAACACAGTGGGCCTTTTGAAGTACTTCAGATAAACTTACAGTTTGAAAACCATTATTGAGGCGTCCATCTAATTGTGTTCCCTCTCACATTAGCTCCCCCCGTAACCCCAGGGCAGGGTCTGCACTGGGTCCTGCAGGGAAGGTCAGAGATGCTGGTGAGGGGAGATCTGAGCTCCTGAGCCTGAGTCACACGCCCTTTCCCTGCTCAGGGGTTTGTTCATGGTCCTGGACTCAGACCGAGACACAGAGAGGGGGGTTGTAAGGGAGGGGCCTGGGGACCAGGAGTGTGAGGATCCTCCTGAGAGTCTCCCTGGTTCCCCTGGGACTCATTTCCACACAGTGAGGATCATAGCATCGTCTTTATCATCATTCCAGCTTCTGCTGAGTTCATGTCTCATGCATTTTAACATAAACTTTTCTTTGGCATGCAAAAGAATGCTGTGTTTGAATGAAACACCATGAATACAGTAGAATCCACATTTTGATATTGACAGATTCACAGATGGATACATGTGTGATCTCGTATTATTTGTGAAATTTAGCAAAAATTTTTTACTTAAGGTTTTGCTACAAAAATTAACTGACTAGCGCAGTCAGTGCACACACAGTCCTGGGCACGCTGTGTCTCACATTAAATGTCACTGGATTTTCTACATTTGTTCCTGCTGTTCCTGTTCTTCCTATTCTCCTCCACACCCTCTTTTTTTATTGTTGTATGAAGAAGTGTGGTGTAGAGCATTATAGCGGATGTCAACTCATGTCTCAGCAAAAACAAGTAAATTTATAATCTCCTTTTTTCACAAAGAGGTCCCATAATGCCACCCAGTCATTGCATGTGATCTTGTTTCTTATCAACAAAGATGGAAATGCCAGTTTCTCTGAGTGAGCTGGTGCGGGCATGGCTGGTGTCACACCTTTACATACCATGTGCACAAGAAGATGTTGTTCCTTATTCTTATAGATGTGGATCCTGGATTCTCCTCTCTCCTCACACGGTTAGAAAACTCACGCTCTTCCCTGATGGCCTCAGAGTCTTGCTTTGTTTGATCTGAGTGTTGGGGAATGACCTGCTCCCTCCTTCCCAGGCAAGTGTGAGGTGGGGATGACATGGCCTTGGGGTGCTGGGGGGCCTGTGCTCCCCTTTCAGTCATTCCAGGGGCTCCCCTGGGGCCACTGGTCTATGATCCTGTGTGGCACATGCTGAGAGGGGCAGGCACATCCCGTCGGGTCATTAGAGATTGTGGGTGATCCTCCCCTTACAGCAGAGTCAGGGGTCTGGGTGTGTCTCTGGTCAGCAAATTGATAAGCCTTCTAGTGCCTTCCTCCTGTCTCATGTCCTTGTCCTCTTCTCCTCACACATCCTTCCCTCCCTTCCTATTCTCCAGGCCCCTCTTTCTCCCTCCATCTCCCCCCACAGCACTGACACTTTGGGGTCCTCATCTCTCCACATGCATCATGGGTTCCTCATGCTCCCTCCAGACCCTCCCCTGCAGGCTCCTGTTCACAACTCCTGGGCCCCACACATGGGGCATCAGAGCTCCAGCTGCTGCTGACACATGTCACCACACCCTGAGCAGCGTCACCCATACAGTTTATCATCTCACACGCCTGCAGGGCAGACACCTGAGACCGTGTCCTAGGACTAACTCCGGGGTCTGGCAGCTCTTTCCTTCCAGATCCCCTTCCTCTCCCAGGATCTAGGGCCCCCTGCATTGACTGGGAACCCCCATCCTCTGTCTACGCAGCCGGCCATGCAGCTTCTTTATGGGCCTGCTGCCGTCACCATGTGACTGTCTCTGAGCACAGGGGCAGGGTCACGGCTGTTAAGGTTCATGTGATTGGCCCCCCCGATGATCCTTAGTAATGTCCCTGTTTCCAGGTCCCCATCACTGTCCTGCCTGCAGATTTCTGTTTCCTCTGCTAAGGACACATGTTTACAGGGTCTTGAGATTAGGACATGGACATCTCTGGAGCCATTCATTTACTTAGAGAAGTTTTTCTTGGAAGCTTCCAACTCTCTGATCTATTCTTGAAGGAATCAAATGAGTGCATCTACTGCTTCTGTGTTTGTCTCTCTGCAGATGGTTTTGTCCCCACAGTCTATGTTAATGTGCAGAGATGTCACTAGTGTTTGGTCCTCTCAGTGTGTGTCCATGTCCCTACTCTGCACGTCTCTCTCCCCCTGGAACCCTCTCCACCCCTCCTGAGTGGGCAGGACGCTCTGCTGATTGTCCTGTGTCTCCACACTCATGTGACAGTCACCCCCGTGAGCAGCTCAGTGACAATGTGTCATTCTCTCTCTCTCTGCCTGTCTCTCTCCCCTTGTTGGACAAACAGAATTATTCCAAATCAGAGGGGAAAGTTCTGCCCACCAGGCCCTGTGTCTCCAGGCTTCCACAGGCCTTTGCTGCCCTGGGAGCAGTAGCCTCAGGCACACACAGGCCTGGGCTTGTTGTAGCTCTAAGCCCCATGGCTCAGAGAGAAGCGGCTCGTCCAGGTCTGTGAGTTCTTTTTTTTTTTATTTTAACATTTATCATTTTTTACATTTTTTAGACATTATTTGCCTCCCCCCACCCCCTCAGATTGAGTCCCCATAGAATTTCTTTCCCCACAGCACCCGTGCACCATCACCACAGTCCCCTGTGCTCCTCCCTCCCTCCTGCTCACCCTCTCCCTCCTCCTCCCCAGCAGTATGTCTCTGGTTTATAATTGTCTGTTTTTGCTTTGTTGTGTTTTGTACTGTCATTATTATTTTTTTTACACTGATGTCTTATTTGGTTCCTCTTTATTCCTGTTATAAGTGAAACCATCCAATATTTTTCTTTTTCCTTCTGGCTTATTTCACTGAGCATAGATCCTTCTAGCTCCATCCACGTTGCTGCGAATGGCATGAGTTTATCTTTTTCAATTGCTGAATAATAATCCATTGTGTATATATACCACACCTTCTTGATCTAGTCATCTATTTTTGGGCATTGGATTGTTTCCAGGTTTTACCTATTGTAAATAGTGCTGCAATAAACAGAGGGGTACAGGTGCTCTTTTGAATCACTGTTTTTGTGTCCTTTGGGTAGATCCCTAGGAGTGGAATTGCTGGATCATATGGTAACTCCATTTTTAGTAAACTGAGGAACCTACAGAGGGTCTGTTAGTTCTTCACAGGCACACAGTTCTAGGCATTTATTTCCATAAAACCTGTTCATGAAAACCTAGTTTCCAGGATGGGTCTGTGGCTGGTGGCTGAAAAGTATAATTTGATGGTTGTATCTGGGTAAAGACCTTTCTGTTCTGTTGGTGTCCAGCTTCTCACCCCGAGTATTAAGATGTACGTCTTAAATCATGGGAAATTCGCAGCATAAAAACTGTGTGTGCGTGTGTATGAATCTAAAAGTTAAATGCATCCACTAAATGTTTCCAAATATTTTCCCCTGTGAACTCTGTGTCACTGTCTTGTAGAAAACTAGGCATGGGCCCTGATGTGTCAGTATCTAGAGTCCCTCACGTGACATGTGTGTCTCTTGCAGATTGGCGGAAGAGGCAGTTCCGGGCCTGTGAGTGACTCTGTTCTCTCTGGCCTTTCCTTCTGTTCTCCGTGTGGGCACAGACTCTGCACCCTCTGTGGGGGTGGGGTGGGTGCAGCTGTGATGTCACACAGCTGGGCTGGGGGATGACTAGTCATGGGTGCTGAAGGGGCTCCTTAGTCCTTGAGGTCCAGGTGGGTCCCCAGGGGTCCTGTGACAAAATTGACCCCCAATAATATTGTGGCTTCTTCTCTTGCTTGGGGGCTGTGGGCTGGGGTCACCAGGCACTCATTTCAGGGAACACATCCCTCTCCCCATAAAGCTGAGCATCTGGGGTAAGGAGTTGTGTGCCCTTGTTATGTCAGGCTGACATATGGGTTCTCTCTCTGAAGGGCCTGTCACTCTGGATCCAGGTTCTTGCCTTGGTGCAATTGTCCTCTCTCATGACAAGAAGAGTCTGACCTTTTCCATCTGACGATGGAAAAGAAGAGGGATACAG